TACACCACACACGCCATCGCAGCGCTCACCCTCGTCCTGCCCTCCTGCCTCCTGCCTCCTGCCCTTCTCCTGCCCTTCTCCTCCCTGCCTCCTCCCTGCCTCCTGCCCTCCTCCTGCCTCCTCCCTGCCTCCTCCCTGCCTCCTTGTACGGCTGTTATTCCGTTCCAGTTGCTGAGTTGAGGGGGGCATGTGGGCCGTGCAGCTCGACATCACAGGTCAAGTCGCAGTATAGCCGCTTGTCCTCCACGTGCCCTCTGGCGGTTCAAGTCGGCAGCGGCGGCCTCCATGTTCTCCGGCCCCGACCCTTGCTGAAGCCATCGTGCCGCTGATTTGACCATCGGCGTGCCTCCGCGGGGCTATCATGAGCTACCGAATGTTTCGCTTTGGTAGTCAGTCCACCGAACTCATGGAGCCGCTCATCCGCATCGACCCAGAAGATGGCGAGCCCCTCAACACTTCGTAAGCCGCCTTCAACTGGCTCGTGTTACCCACTCCCACCCGCAGCCCGTCTTCTCAATCCACAAACTTAGTCTGCACGCTGCGCCTAACCTCGCTTCGTCTCACATCGCATGGTACAGGGGCACCAGCGTGTTTTCCAGCACCAACACGCCCCGCACGCCGCTCTCCCATATTGACCGCATGACCAAGAGTCCCTTCCAAAAGCTCAGGCAGCACCATCGCATCCCGTACAAATTCACCCTCAACGTCCTTGTGAGTAATGCAATGGATCCCCCCACACCTTCCCCGCCTTCCCCGCCTTCCCCGCCTGAAACGCATTTCATTGCCCTGGTCGTCTTCGTCATGCTTCCTTTTTGCGCCCACTCACCTCTCAACCGCCCTGCCAGGTCATCATCTTTCTCTCCGCATTCTACATCATGAAAAACTTTCAATACTCATACTACATGGACAGCAACACAGCCATGCTCCGCAGTCGCCTCGGAAACAGCGCTGATGACTGGCCCATGTCCGAGTATGGCCAAACCTTAATCTACACGGTGGACAACTTTGTGAACCATTTTCGCACCAGCATGGACAACTATTGGTCCTTCAACGAGTCGGCCCTCTCTGAATACGAAGTTAACCAGCAGCTCAAGCTTCGCGTCAAGTATTCCAATGGCACAATCACGTCCGACGTCATGACGTCCGAGAACAACCGCTATGGCATCATAGGCCAGCTCAACGGCTCCAAACTCGTCGAATTCCTGCGTGTCGTGGACACGCTCGCCATTGATTACACCTTTGAAAACCTGCAAAAGGCAGATCACAAACACGCCACCGTCATGGATGTCCATCACCGCTGGCACTGCAACGCCCTCTACGACCTCACTTACGATAACGGCTGCGCCGTCTACCAGCTTCGCATATCCAACACCATTCTCTCCACCAGCCAACCCGTCCTGCTCGTCATCAGCAGCATCATCATCACCCTTTGCATTCCCAGCGCAGCCTTGACCCTGCGCGCGCTCTGGCGCTCCTTTGGCGCCTTCAAATATGCTCGCACCAATCTCAAGCGTGCTCCCGTCATGACCTCTGTCAATGGCGGCGCCTCCCGCCTGCCCGCCAACGAAATCATGTGGCACCATCTCAAGCTCTCTGATAAACTGGCCTTTTTCAATCTTTGGCATGTCACAACCGTTCTCGGCGATATACTCTTAATCATCGGTGGCACCCTCAACTATTCAAAGCAGCTGGGCTACCAAACCGACAAACACGACTCGTACGTTGACCCAGATCCCCTCACGACCAACGCTTGCTCGGCCACACCCCTCCGCCATTCGTCCGTTCCTGTCACCGCTTGCTCAGCCCCTTACTGTTGGCTGCTGCTGTTTCCTCTGACTCTGTAGCCTGAGCTCCTCAGACATTTGCCACGCCTTGGGTGGCTTTCTCGTTTGGGTGGGCATGCTCAAGTTCTACGAGTGGGATAGCGAACTTTACATGCTTATCCTTTCCGTCAAGGCCTCCCTTTCACGTGTGTGCATCCACGTCATCGCCCCCCTCCCCCTTCAGCCTGCTTGGCTACCCGGTGGCAGCACTGACCGCGGATCCTCTTGCTTTGTCTCTCTCACAGGCGTATCCAAGTTTGTCTTCTGCGTCACGCCCGTGTACATGGCCTACGTGCTCGTCGGCGTGGCCTGCTTCTACGATCACCAGGACCTCTTCGGAGACATTTTCAAGTCAAGCCGCACGCTCTTCAGTCTCCTCAACGGTGACTCGTGCGTGCTTTCACCCCATTTCCCTTTCCCACGTGCACAACGGTGATCCACCATGCCATCACGTTCACGATGATTTTAAATTCTGTTGCTTTGCAGGGTGCTGGCCGTCTTCCAAGAGCTCCGGGAGAATTCCGATCTGGGCTACGACGTTTTTGCTCAGGTACGCCACTGATGGACCAAACACTTTTATGCTCTACTTCCCTGCCGATCAAGGTGCAGCGACTGCAGTCTGTCCCGCCCCTCCTCAATGCCATGCCGCTTGCCCCTCGACCAGATTTACATTTACTCCTTCTGCATCATCTTTATTGTCATTATTTGCAACGTTTTCATCTTCATCGTCGAGTCGGGCTGTGCGTTATCACTCGCCTTGCGACATGCGGCTGCTACAGGCTCTATCCTGCCGTTCTCCCCTACTTCTCTGTCTGATACCATCCATTCCGACCGTTGTTCTCTGTCGTTTAGATGATGCGGCTCTGAACGCCGTATATGGGCCAGAGGAGGTGCTGTCCGTTTTCATTGACCACCAGCGTTTGCGCGACATCCTTTTGGTATGCTCAACCACCCTGGCTGCTGAACTAGCTGCGTCGATCAATGCATTCCAGCGCCACCCTCATCAAGGCCCTCCTTCCTTCACTGCACTGCACAGGTCGCCAGTACTCGGGATCCCAATCACACCTATGTGCCCGACTCTCTTTTGAACCAGCTCGAAGAACCCCCTTCGCCGGAGCTGCATCATCGTTTGCGGTACGTGCACAACCGCACTTCGGCTCTTCTAATATGCAGGCGCCCTAAGACGTGCTTTGCTTTGAACCCATTCATTGGCCGGAACGCCGTTTTGTGCTCTGCACAGGTTGCGTCGCGGTTCGCGCGGCGAGATTAATCGAAGCTTTCGCTCCCATTCCTTCTTCCGTGCACGCTCGATGGACCGCATGGATCAGCTTGGTCGAGCATTTGGTGCGGGGGCTTCCTTCAGTGGCGACAACACCCATCAAACAGCAACTCCTCGAGCAAGCGTTCCCGTCACCGGAACTCCTGCCGAGCAACGCGCAGCACTCGCTCAAAACGTGCAGCACCTGCAAGCGCGTTTGCAATCGCTCAACTCTGATATGGCCAACACTTTGCAGGAGTTGCAAGCCGCCAATGCCCAGCTCCAAACCCTAGCTGCTGCGGAGGCTGCACAGACACCAGACTCTGAGGCGTAAGCTTGTCCTTGGATTTCATCACGATCGAAATGCATGTACACTATGTTTGATGATCAGGTCAATTATTTCAAGTTCTTGTGTTATGAAGAAGAGGCGGCATTGTTCTTCTTTCCGCCAAACATAGATAGGCGTGGGGCACGGAATTTGGATCCGCTACCTCCTGAGGCACTGGTGTCTTTGGAAGACGGACGCTCACCCGTCACGTTTTGCAATCGCTGCGAGCCCCCATGTGCCGGGCTGTGAGCATTCTTCGAAAACACCACCTTAAACCCAAGCCGTGACCCCGGTTGTTTCCCCTCCTATTTCCTTTCACTTCCACCACCTTTGGGCTACCAAACCAAATAGCATACTCTTTCTTTAAGAACCCACCTCAATCTCGCAGTCCTTTTCAACCGATTGTAGCTTGGCCTCTGCCAGCTGCAACTCCAGGGCTTGGATACGAGCATGAAGCTCAACCGAGTCTGCATCATCACTATGGGCCGCGACGCGGGCCTCAAGTGTTTGCACCTACCCGCCCATTTGAAGCGCAAAGCTTATTAAAGACACCCTGTTCAATACACTGCTCTTTTGAGATTGCGTCTCGCACTCCTCAAGGACGCGGGACCTACCCGCTCCTCAGCCTCGTTGAGATGCCGCTGCTTGACCTGCAACTGCGCTTGCACCTGCGTTCGAATGCCCCATGAGCCGGGCAGTTGGGCAGAGAACTGCCTACATTCTCCACGATCGACGACATACCTCATCCAGTTTCTTTTGTAAAGCCATTTTCTCTTCATCAGTCTTGGCGAGTGTGGTTCGATAAAGTTCTTTTACCAAACGCACCTCCTCCTCCAGATTGCGACCTAAGCAGGCAAAAGCACATTAGCTTTAATGCAAGGGCGACAAAGGCATGGCCGTAGAACCACATGTCGTCGAAGCGGCCGAAACATCCACGCACTGTCAAGCTCAATGTTTCGCTTGGCCTCGTGCGATGCCTTGCTCAGATTTTCATCTACACAAGCACAGTAGGGTCAAGAATGTGAGTAGGCCGCCACACAACCAAGAACAAGAGTTGAGGAGGAAGATGGAGAATTTAGGCACCAGGAGAGATCAACAAACATTCTTTCAGCTGGGAATTGAGGGCGTCTTCTGAGGCCTCAATCTTCATTTGCATTTGTGTTTGTGTTTCCACTAGTTTTTGGCTCATCACCTCAAGCTCTTGCTGCAATTTCACATTTTCTTCTTGCAACCGATTATTTTCGGTTGTCAAAACCTGCCGAGCATCCACGAAAGAGTCACCCAGCGGTGCGAGTCGAGACGGCGATGGGCAAAATCATTGGCACGCATACCTGCACGGGATCTTGTGCCAAGGCTTCCGCAGCCTTTTGTTCAAGATACTCTTGCTCCAATTTGGCCAACTTGCGCGCACCCACCTGCCCAAATGCGCAGAGACATGAGCATGGTTCCATTGTCCTTTCAGCTCTCTAAGCGGGCCCTTGTTTGTTGGGCACCAGAACAAACCTTGATACCATTGGCCATGGAGATCAAGCGTCGCGCTTCGGCCTCGCTTTGAAAACGGCGAGGGAGCTCTGTGCGAAAATAGGCCATAATCTCCTCAAAAGTGCTGGCCAAGAGCTCTAGGAAAGGGAAAAGTTCGTTGGTGAGATGTAATGCTCACGGGTGCAGTTTCATCTGCGTGCATTGAAGAATTCGCCGCTTGCTGGCGCGCTCACCTTTACGAGAAGCCTTGAGCAAAGCCAAACTGATCTGGAAGATGGTCTGAAATCCCTCCGCAAGGAAAAAGTCGAAAATGCGGTACACCAGAGGCAGAGAAAACTGCGAGCAGAAACCATGGACGACAAGGGTTGGCAAGTGCGCGCAGCGAGTCATCCATGGTCCTTGATATAGAGCAAATCAACGAACAAACCGCCGATTGAGAAGGACAACCAAATTGCAAGGACACAACATACCTTTGTAGCAAAAAGTGTCAAGAACCATTGGCTGGCATACATGTGGGTCTCAACACGCAGCTCCTTCATATGGGCGTAAAGGTCCGGCAGCGCCTCCAGCAGTAGACGATCCAGCTAAGCCAAGGGGCGTGACATCCGGACACAATAAGCTAGAGGTTGTACATTGGTATGCCCGAGCCCACCGGCGTTCTCCAGCGGCTAAATTGCGACAGCTTACCTGGTGCAGACGGAGATGTAGGTTCTCAAACCCTGTCATGTAAAGGTCACGCAGGCCATAGTCCTGCATCATCTTGACATACAGCACAAAAGCGCTTTCCTCGGGAAGCTAAACAGGTGGCGATGTACACCCGAAATTAGAAGAAGAACAAAGGCGGGACTGCAGTGAGGCAACGGTATGGACAGGTCTATGCGCGGGATGCATTAAAAGCCTGCGATGCTCGCACGTGAAGCAATAAAACGGCCGTGATGAAACTGAGGCCTTGCACGTAACCAATTTCCTCGTCATAGACGGAGTAAGCCTGCGAGAGAGGTGAGAGTGGCAAGAACCATGCCGACATGGCTAATGTCAATAAACAGCCACAAGTTTCAAGCAAACCTCAATGCAAAGCATGAGATCCAGAACAGACCGAGTTGATTCGGTAGAGTTGTTTTTGACCTTCGCCCTCCTTGTCACGAAAGCGTTCGTGTCCAGGGAACGTGCGATCGAGATCCCACTGAGATGGGCACAAGAAGAAGAAGGCGGTGAATGATGAACGGACAAGTCCAATGGCGATGCGTGCGGATGACGGTGAGCGCGGCATACCTTGATGGCCTCATGCGCCCGCGATTCCTGCTTGAGCAGCAACGGATAGCTCAACTCAAGGTCTGAATCAGCAACCCCGGCCAACCGGAGCCAGACCTGGAGCAAAGTGGGGACAGTGAGCCGAGGTAAGGACGTGGTTTGGTCATGGATGGCATGAATGCGGGGATGGGTGGTGAGATGGGCCGATTTGTGCACCTGGGGGCGGAGGCGATCGGGTACGCCGCCGCGAGCCAGTGCGTTGATCGTTTTGCGTGAAGATGCGTCCCACTTGGCAATGACGCTGGTCCAACGAGTCAGCTGGGTGTCGTTCATGTTTTGGTCCACCGAGCCCTGCAATGTATTGAAAGGTTAGCGAGGTGTTTTGCCGAAAAGCACGAACGGGCGGAACCGCCAGAGCCCGACGTCAGAGCGGCTCGCAATCTTACACGGCCAGACACGAGCACAAGGTCGGTTGCAGACGGATCTGCTTCAGCAGTGCCATCTTCATCGTCGGCTTCATTGTCACTTTGCTCACCGTTCCCAGGATCGGCGCTCAGATCCTCCTCACTCTTGGCAGCGGTAAGGTTGCTGCGATAGAGGCTGTTGCAGCGATAATCAGGTATAAATCTTGGTCGGGCCAAACAAAAGTGCCTGTCAGGTGGGTGGCAGCGAGCTGACAATTCTTACTATTGCAGGCGCTCCAGGTAACCCATACGCGCCGATGCCTCGAGTTGCACGACTTCAGTCGGCTCAAAGAGGACGTACGGGGGCCGTGGGAGCTTGCTCATGTTGAGTTTGACCTGGTTTATCCCAAGTGAATGGTCAGGCTAGGACCACAACGAAGGGAGGATGGCTGCATTTGGGACGGGTGACACGGCAACCCACCGAGAAGGCCTGCGTTTGGGCTTCTTTCTTGCCTTGGAGCCAGATGCGATCAGTTGCTTTGGTGACGCGAATTTTGAGACCGGTGGTGAGGCGGAGGGGCTGCGCCAAGCCCACAAAGTTGGTGTCGAGCACAACATTGAGCATGACCACTTCGTCCTGCATCGGGAACGTGCGTACACGAGCAGAGGTTACGTCAACGAGCCAGAAGGAGAGGAGGGGTGAAGAGGTAGGGCGCATTGACCAAGCCACGGACGTTTTTGGCGGCGTCAAAGTTCAGGTCAAGGGGCCATTGCACAACGAGGGTCAAGGCCTTGCTACCCAGCCATTCGGTGGAGACGATGTCGAGCCAGTAGTGGCCTTCCCCAGTCTCAAAACCTGACCATGGCGTCATCATGGAGATGCCCACGCGTCGAATGCTCTCCAAGCCCATGGGCTGTTCCGATGTCTGGGGACATGACAATGGCAAGTGCGCAGGAGGCAAGTTGGTTTGCAGATGAGTTTGGGCGACACGGCCAAGAGCTGTCGCTCCAAAATCTCACCTGGGTGATGGAAAAGTGTAGACGCCGCTCGCGGTGTGCCCGGGCTTTAAAGATTTCCTATGGTTGCCCAGAGTGGGTTGAGGGGGCGGCCTCTGTCCACGGTTGCGGTAGGATGTATGCGTGCGCCACCATGGCGTCAAAGCCCCACCTTATTGCAGGGACAAAAGACATAACCGTTGCGATCGGCCTCTTGCAGGCCAACACCAATGCAAATGTTGTACTCGTACGGATGCTCAGCACCTAGTGGGCCACAACGCGAGAACGACCGTTCAACCAACATGCCTGAAGCAAAGTGACAGCTGGATTCCTCTCTTCTTCCTGCCAGCTCGTCTGAGGCAGAGGAAAGCAAAGGCACAGGCAAGAAAGCCGAGTTTACCTTGCGCAAGTTGCAAAAGTCGAAAGGCTTCGCCGATGAGCGTCAAGGCAGCTCGGGCTTCATCAGGGGTGCCAAACTTGAAGATGAGACAGGCACCGGCTTTGTTGGCGCCCTCGGCCAAATGGTGTGCAGGCTGTTCAAAGGGGCCAGTGAAACGACGCGCCTCGTCGTACTTCATGGCCAGCGTCATGAAGGAAGGGTCCACCTGTGACTGGTTGCAGCCAATGACCTGTCGAGCCAGGGTGCGATGGGCTGAGATGCGCTTGCTTTCGCGCTCGAGCACGATGAGGAGACCGGCATTGACTAGGCGTGGGAGACAGAGTGTGGCGGCTGTCGGGGCCGGTGAGCCATCTGTTCGATCAAGCAGCTCGCGCATAATGAGCTCGGTCTCATCCACTGAGCGTGGTGCATCCATGGGGACAAAGCCATAAAATGCGCAAGTATACAAGGTGTGAGTGCGTTCGAGCACGGCTCGCAGGCTGGTCAAGTCGGCGGCCACGGTGCCGCTCGAATCGCTGGCCGAGCGTGAGAGCCGCGACATTGGGCGAGATGAGCCCGAGCTTTCCTCGGTGCCGGTCGCTGGTGGCTGTGCCGGTGCAGTTGTGGTAGCTGGCTCTGGCGTGGCCGCGGCAGCGAGAGGATGGTCAACGACCACAGCAGGTGTTGCAACATCTACTGCCATGGTCGGGGCATTGGCTGCGGGCTTTGTATCTGCCATGCTGCTGGGTGCGGCTGGCGCAATTGACCACTTGGACAAGACTTGGAGCTAGAGACAGATGGGCAGGACTCAAGGCCACGCTGGCGCGTGCTGGTCAAGTATGCAGCCTCAACGGCATGATCCACGCCTAGAACAGGTCAAGCAAATCAGCCACAACCAGCACCGAACACCTTCCCCCCTCCCCCCTCCTGAATGCCCACCTCACCCGAAAGAACCGACGGACCGACAGGACCGACAGGACCGACAGGACCGACAGGACCGACAGGACGTGCGCGGACCCAGCCAACCCGAAACCCACCACACATAGCGTACACACCTCAAGCCAGATTCAAGCCAAATTGATCACACACACACGAATGCAGCTCAACGCGCCACTGAATGATGGTGTGTTGTCAAAAGCAAAATGAGAGAGAGAGACAGAGAGAGAGAACAAGCACTGAAAATCTGACGTTTTTGGAGGCGGTGAGTGTGATGCACGTTACAATAGACTTGGTCTGTGTCTGTGTCTGTGTCTGTGTCTGTGTCTGTCTCTGTCTCTGTCTGTGTCTGTGTCTGTGTCTGTGTCTGTCTCTGTCTCTGTCTCTGTCTCTGTCTCTGTCTCTGTGTCTGTCTCCGTCTCTGTCTTTGTCACTGTCCCTGTCTCTGTCTCTGTCTCTGTCTCTGTCCTCTCACTCTCTGTCTCTGTGCTCTCTCTGTCTCTCTGGCTCGGGCAAGTTGGCAGTGGCAGCCAAGTGAACATTGGGCGGGCGGCGGGCAGAGCGGATCTTTAAGCGCCTGGTACACGTTGAAAGACGCTTCGTCGGTGGAGCGAGAGGTGAAGCAAGCTGGTACAGGTGTGCGCAAGTGCAAGAGTCGACGGCGCAACTCGACAGGTTAGAGCGCGGCAGACGCGCGTTGCCTTGGACTGACGAGAATGAGTCGCCATTTCCATGGCTTGTGCCTGGGCCGGTCGATTGAATACCCACTTCCCTGGCCGTTCACCAGCTTCGCGTGTTCGCCATTGTTAGCCGAAAAGCCATCTGGTTTGGTCAAGTGCCGTTTGTGGCGCTGGGTCCGTCATGTCGGCAAGTATTCTCACTTGACGAGGCGCAATCGCAAGAACTTGGACATTGTCCTGGCGCAGACCATGACCGCCAACTAGATACTCGACCGCTCCGAGCCTCTACCAGTTGCCCAAGCCAACCCTGTGCAGACGTCATGGTGCTCTTGCGCGATAAGAAGCCCCTCGAGTGGACCATTGACCAGCTAGCTGAGCGCGTCAGTCCAATGCTGCTTCCCGCCACCATTGCTTTCTCGTGTCTTCGATGTTGTTATTGTCCTTCTGAGCTTACCCGTCTTGACTTTTCCTCCTCTTTTCAGGGCCTGGGTGAGCTAACCTCTGGGCCGGATGTGGCACCCAATGAGGTGGTGCACGTGTTTCAACGAGAGTTTGCCATTGTAACCCACGGCACGTCATACCTCGCGCGCGTTTACCCATCTCTTTTCCCCCTTCTCTTTCTAACACCCCACCCCCTTTTTTTTACTCTTAGATGACACTGTGCGCTTCTTGTATTCGTCGTACGCCACGACTTGTCTGCTACTGACGCTCTATCATCGACCGCAGCGACGCGGCGTGCTGGTGCACTTTGATGGCGCCGGGCGCTCGTTTTTGGACGATGTGCTCGCGGAACTCGAGTATGATGATGAGGATGAGCCTTTGGAAGCCGGCATCATTGGTGGCTTCAACGACGAAGGTGGCTATTCTATTCAGGTACGAGAGGGAACAGACCCTTTCCTCCATTTCTCTACCGGATCTGTTTGTTGCCTTTCGACACGCCTCACCTTTTTTTCTTATTTTTTTTTTTTCCCAAATCTCAATCCAAAAGAACTTTGAGGCTTTGATGGAGGATATGCAAGGACACGAAGCACGGTTTGAACTCCGTATTGTTCGGGCGTGTGCCTCAAACAACCGGGTAGCCTCTGCGCCCCACCCACTGGCTGTCAAAATGGGTCTGGAAGACGACTTGCAACGGCCTCGTCATACCAGTGCGGCCTTGGACGTGCGGACAGGTCAAATCCTGGCCGTCACGCTCGTAGAGCCTGATGTCGCCGCTGTATCCTCGGAAAATCTTCTCCGAGACATTCGCTGTCTCACAAACTGCAACCGTCTGTCCAACTGCTACAATCAAGATATTGATTGTTATGTCATCGGTAAGTCCGAGGCCTCGTTCATCCCCCCGCTTCCCCCGAGTGTCTCGCATGCCCGCTCCCAGGTGGCCGTGGCTCGCTCAGAGTCCGTGTGAGCTCTCATACGCCTGTTGCTGACCAGAACCGTGGGATTATCGACCGTGGAATCCGGTGTTGTATTTGACTTTGCCGCGAGCCGAGCTCGCTCTGCGGCTGTCCACATCTCCCTTTGCCGAGGATGACAACTTTAGCGCCCGGTTGCAAAAGTCCCTGTACTACATGCAGCAGCACCTTGACCCCTTTGCACATGGTGCCATCCGCTTTCCTCGTCTCAGCACGGCCGCCTCCTCGTAGTGTCAAGGATAAACTTATAAACTGATTATTTGAGAGAAAAGACACCCCCTCTTGTTGATACTTTGAAGCATTTGAGGCATCTTTTCCTTTTTGCACCCTCCGTCATTGAAGGGTATCCATCCCATGTAAAGAAGACCAGGTCTATACAACTCATGGTCAAGTGCAACCAAAGCCACTACCTCGTCAGACACACCCAGACGCTCCCAGAAACCACAAAACCACGTAAAAAAAAAAAAAAAAACAGGTAAGAGAAAGTGCCATTAACATAACACTTGTTCTCTGTCCG